GTAACTTGCAGAATATTGAGGTGATTTTTCAAGTTTGATCGTTTCGACTTGCGAATGCATGGTAATGATTTTGTTAAAGTTTTGTACACGTTCGAGGTATGCGTTTATCGCTTTCTATACTTTAGCATATTCATGATACTTATACTTTTTACAATTTTTATGTCATTCATTCTTTTGTATACTTGTTCATTTATGAATCACTTTAGATCCCACCTTTTTTGTGAGGTAGCTTTCCATTGTTCACATATGCTGGAGGCCACAATTCTTGTTTTAACTGGATTTTATTGTGCTTAATCTTTTGTTTTATGTTAATTGTATGAATGCAAGAAAGTGATCAAAGCATTTTTTGTTCCATTTTGAGCATAAATACCTAGCAAAATAGTCAATTCACCTTGTGAGTGTATGATCATTAGTAACCTCTTTGAGCTTTTTGTCGATATCCATGTTGTATTTGCTAAATGCTTGTATATGAGTGTTTAGTTTCCCTTTTTGTATGGATATTTATTCCTTGTTTTCTTGAACCATTAACTATGATTTATAGTTGAATTTTTACCTTACCTTAGAAAGTAGGGAGTACTCACATTATGATGATGGTTGAATTCAAGTTGGGGAGAGGAATTCGTATGTGCTTATGTTGTGATTGCTATGAGGTTGAAAAAGAAAAGAAAAAGAAAAGAAGAAAAAAAAAGTGAAATAGAAAAGATAGAAAAAGAAAGAGAAGAATTGAAAAAGCATTGAAAAAAGAAAAACAAAAAAGAGGATGGAATAATGTTGTGTTAATAAGTGATGTGTGTTGGTTTGAAACTTGTGATGAAGAAGAATTTTGATTGAAATTCTATTGTTTGAAACTTTGTGGAAGTAATTACTCCCTTAGGTTTAGGCAATTTTTTGTTTCGATTAGTTTTAAGACTTATCACATGTTTGTTAACCAAGCCACATTACAACCTTGAAAAACCCTTGAGATTCTTGCTTTTATATTTTCAATATAAATTTTTGGATAAATGCATAATTTAGTCTATTGTTTGCAAGATTGTTGGATGAGTGAAAATACCTCATTTTTGTGTATTTTTACTCTACCGATGATTATGTTTGCTAGGTGTGATTCATTTGTGACCAAGTATTATTTTATAATGTTTGTAATATTCTTTGTATTTAGCATTAGTTTCATGTTTATATTATCGTCGTAGTTTAGTGGTAAGTATGTTTCTTCGTGTGTACCATTTTTCATTTGAATCATTGCATTTGTATTCCGTTTTCAAAACTTGTTGATTCATGAAATTTTGGTTGATTACTTATGGTTCTTTGAGTTGTTTGGCTTTGTTTGAGGACAAAAATTTTTAAGTTGGGGAGAGTTTGATAAGTTCAAATTGTATCTATTTTTGTATATACTTTTTGTTGCACTTATCGACTTTTTGTTTGTTAATATTATTGGATAATCCCAACTTTTGTGTAAATTCGTTTAGTTTATATTTAATTGTGTTTTTGTGTATATAGTGTACCGTTTTATGTTTTTCTATTCATTTTATAGATATTGATGCGTATTTGGAGCATGAGCAATAAAGAGTCGAAGACACGACTTCAAACGTGCGATTTTGAGCAACTCGTCAATGAATAAGGCTAAAAACCAAAGAATAATAGATCATAAAATTTGGTTTATATTTTTTCATTTTTATAAAGAGCATTGAGTAAGCTTTCCAACGCTTCGAACCGGGCATAAATCAGAATTACGGTTCAAGAGTTATGGACAAAACAATGCAAAATGATGTGCTGATTTTTCAACCTTCTGTCATCCGTCGTCGGGCAACGCTTTTGGTCGCCGGACAATGCTAGGAGAGTTGTAGCGTGGGAAAAACACTTTTTTGGTCGCCGGGCGATGCTAGACGAGTTGTAGCGTGGGAAAAATGTTGTTTTGGTCACCGGGCGACGCTTTTTGGTCGTCGAGCGATGCTGGACAGTCAGAAATGTGTATTTAGGTGTAAAAACACATTTTTTGGGTATGGTTACAAACTAATTTTTGATCCCAACTCCATCAACCTTCATTTTTTGATATAATTAGGTTAGAAAACAACATTGAAGCTTGCATACGGATGATCCGGGATGGATTTCTCATCAATTGACGCTGACAAACCAGGAGATTTGTGGTTCATTTCTCTTCCTTTTTGTGTATTCTTTATGTGTTGAGGTTGTACATGTATTTACTCTGAACTTATGTACATTTGTCTCCCATGGCGTTATATTAAACTTGCTTTATAAATCTTTGTCAATTGTTGTCCTGGATTTTTGCTCTGTGCTATGGATTTGATTTATTAAAGTCATATACTGCTTAGATTCTTATCTAGGATAAGTATCTTTTAGTTTCTAAACTCTAGAGATAGATTTAGAGCTAGCATTCACATAGAGTATCAAAGCTTAATGCCTCTGTGTTGGTTGTGTTGTGCTGAGAGATCGTCAGTGTGAGTAACATAGTTATCTTCTGTATTGTTGAGGAGGTGGATAGATCATTTCCTTGGTGATATAGTCAGTCTCTTAATTTGGGTTAGAAATGACTTAGGTTGTGAGTGATACGTGGTGACATTGATGAGTATTGTTAGGTTGAATGTAACTGGTCGATAAATTTAAGTTTGTGATGAGTAGATTATATGCATGCTTGATAAATTCTTCCTTAGTTTTTTTCTTTTGTTTACATTTATTTTCTGTTGATAATATTTTCTTTACAAACCCATTTATCTCCAAACTCATTAACGAGAGATTTGTCGAACGTCAATTCAATAACTAATCTCTGTGGATACGATAAATTCCCGGATAAATATTTCCAAAAACTTTTGTTGCTTGTCGCTACACTACTCTAGCACAAAGTAAGTCAAGAACTTAAATCATTTATTATTCATCGGTTCGCCAAATATATGTTTAAAATAAACTATTTTATAATTCATTTAGGTACTGCGTGACGGGTATGGATTACGACAAGAATCCAAGATTCAATGTCGCTTTATATCGTATTCTATTGGATCACCTTGGCCCGAATGATGTACGCCGTACCTTTGAACTTTTCTACTTTTAAATTATTTATTTATTAAGTTTTCATTATGCTGATTTAATTTTATCCACAGTTTATCTGGAGACCATATTTGGGTTTGGACCATGAACCAAACCCCGAGGATGCAGCAGTTTGGACTATAAAAACTGCACTTATACGGTTCAACATTGTGGAGATACACCACAGCGGCCGTATCAAGATGCAGTTCGGAATGCATCAAGAGATACCATGCGTTCCAACTTGTTTGTCCCTCTGGCATCTCAAAAGGATCGACGCCCAATGGGGTCTTACTAATTGGAAATATTTTGCTCCAGAATGGTGTAAGATGTGGCATAGGCGTCACTAACATGTCTTGCAATTCCCTGTTTTCCTCAACCAGAATAATATGCGACACACTGATCAATATTTTGCTTGGTAAAGATCGGTTAGTAACCCAAAAATGGACGTGTCTCATCCGAGGTATTTGGTTGACCCACGAACACAACAGGCACAAACCTCAAATCCCCAATAACAAACCCAACACAGATCAACCTCCCACCAACCACCCCAACAATATAGATCCACAACCACCCAACCACAATCACCACCACAATACGAATACACACATATGCCCCCACACCCAACCACAATCACCACCTCAATACCAATACCCCCATATGCCCCACACCCAACCACAATCTCAATCACAATACCAATACACCAACATGCCCCACACACAATTTCAGTCTTCTCCATATCCCAATGTGGGCCCTCAACATCTAACCTTAGCCCTGATCTGGGATTTCCCGAAGAATATGACCCAACTTACCATCAACCACCATAGCACCCAACAGTCACAATATCAAACACCTCAAGATTCATTTCCTTTTTACCCCCCTTACTCAGACGACCAGTGCTATAGACCATCCATGGAACCCCATCCCCCACCAAGACGACCAAACTTTAAGGGCATGGGTAACCGACTGTACCAAAGCGGATCTTCCAGATATAGTGATCTGACCGATTTCATGGATCTGAACGCATTGACTTCACTGGGCCATCGACCCTGCCGTAGTAGGAAATTCGACGAAATCCACCACGAGATAGGCGAGGACGAGGATGCGGAACTATGGGTCGTTCCCGAGTTCCAGGGGACCACTAATTGTTTTGTATGGTTTTTTTTCATTATGTAATCGTTTTTTGTTAATGAAAAGTCGAAGTTTCGTTAAGCTATACCGTTTACCTATTGTCTCGCATTTAAAATAAAAAACAAAAAAAAAATTACACATCTATTGCACCTAGGCGTCACCTGAGATGGCTTAGAACAACCATTTAGCACCTAGGCGCCATCTCACTTGGCGCCTCCTCTTAATTTTAAGTGTATGCGCCAACTCAATTGACTCCTCCATTGTGAAATTTTCTAAAACATGATTATTTGCGTAATTTTCTCTAAAACATGATTATTTATGTATTTTTTTTACTAAAAAAATTCAATTTTGATACTATTACTTGCAGGTATATATATGCGAGTAATATTAAAATATTAGTAAAACCTTCGAAATTTGTTGAAAAAAAACTTTAAGGTATATTCAGAAGATAACTTTGAATGTGATGAGGAGGCATTTTGAAAAATATATAGGATATATTATTAAGCAACCTCTCGGTAATAATACTCCTTTCTAATACGGATGAAAATACATATAAATCGAATGAAAAAACATATTAATCCTATCAAGTTGACATTTTAAATAAAAAGTATTATAATAGTTCAATCATAATTTTTGTTAAACATAATTTAAATATATAAATCTACATTAACTTTTAATAAATTTAAATACTACCATAGAATAAAATATTATATAAAGTTAACCGGAGAGCATCACATGATGTGAGGATGTCATTAAAATATTGTGGTTAACTTAAGATAAGATAATAATACAACAATAAAGACTCTAAGTTAAGATGTATTTTACTAACAACTATATCAATTGTTAAATACCTTTTGAGTTTCAACTTTTGCTTTGATCTTCCCCATCTCAGCCCAAGATCGTAGAGAAGTAACTATATGAGGCTGAACAAGAGCCGCAATGCGGCTTAGGGTGTCGGGCCGATTGATAGCATTGGTGACAAATTTACGGACCCGTGTATGAGCCTTACCATGGACAGCCACCATTGAAGTTACACCCATAAGTTCAACAGTTGGCCATTCTTGTTTGAAGTTGCTGTCTGAAAATAGCACAAATTTGTTAACAGCAGGAGTGTATACTATGATAGAAGGTGCTCCAAATAGGTGTGTTCTAAACATGTCCACTCCATCGCCATATCTGTTTCATTGTTCATCAACAATCATGTGTTATAGTAACATTGAATATTTAATAACAAATTATAAAGGACATCGATAATAATACAACAATGAAAAAATATGTGATACACTGATTGTATAAAGAAGTTTATACCATCATCTAATAAACGATGTGTATTCAGTCACATATCTTATATGATAATTTTAGACGATATTGCGTGTTCGTTAACCCTACAACAATATCAATATATAGATAACAAATATATTAAAGTAATTGTATTTCTAAGAAAACTTACTTGCGTCTCTTGGCGTTAATGAAATCATCTGGACGTCGAACAATTTTAAAGTACCAAAGAAAAGTAATCGTTTCTCCAATGAAAGGTAAACCCATATGACCAGGTGGCAATTTTGTTGAAGAATTTAAGCACTTGAATTTGAGAGGAATAACATACCAATATTCATTCCACCACCATAGCACAAACCCAATAACTACACCAAACAACCCTAAATATATTGCATCCATTTTCTAAATTTTTTCACCTGATAGATCTATGTGATTCTTTCTCTGTTGCAGAGTTTATGTGTCATGGATTCTTTATAATATTAGTACTCTTTTTAAGTATAAAGCCAACTTGCCATTAAAAAAATACAATTGAACGAAACTGCTCCATTTGATAAATAGAAAAAAAAGACTGGGAACTAACAAAAATTTGTTGTATTTTATCCATAATGATGCTTTTCGATCCTTCACATGTTTCGGTCTGGTGTAAGAATTTGTAAATTGAATAATACATTAAAAAAATAATTTATTTTGAGCTCTTCTGCAAAAGTCTCCTCTCGATTATATCAAATTTTGATTATTTTTCATATAAACTAATTATTGTGAGATGGTCTTGTCTTACTTGACTATAAAATTGATCATTTTATATAAATATGTTTGGTAAAAATAACGGTTCACAGATAAATTAATTGATAGTTTATAATTTATGACTGATGGCTGATGATTGATAGTTTTATCACTTATAAGTAATGGTTGATACTGATAACTGATAAGCTAATTGAAGTGTCTGATAAAATTAACGGTTCAACTAATATAAAATGACATAAAAGATATTTAATACATAATTATTTCATTTTAAATTGAAATAAACTATAAAAGATAAAAGTGGATTTTGTTAAAATAATAAAGATAAAAAATGAATAAAAAATGATAAGTTATAAATTATAAGCTAAAACGTTATTTAAAATACCATCTAAAAATAAATTATAAGCTAACAAAATAAATTATAAGCTCGTGATAAAAAAACCGTTATCAAATAAATATAAATTATCATATAAACTTATAAACTATAAATTTAAAATATGTCTTATCAAACAAAGTAATAATACAAAAAAAAATATGTGTTCAGTTTTTCATACACTTAATTTAAAAATAATTAAAATAGAAATAATGTGCTAAATTATAAAATTTGTTGTGCTCCTTTACGATTTTTCTTAATAGAAAATCAGAAAGAATGCATTACTTTAAAAATAAACAAAGGTCACAAATAATACAGAAGTAGGATAGAGCACTCGAACATGGCTAAAATTCACACGAAAAACACATCTGAAATATATTAATAATTCGAACTATCTTAAAGTGTCGGACACAACAAACTTATAGAGAGAGTAAGTTGGAGGAAGGAAGACACTACCACCTACACAAAACATAAACAATAGAAGGACATCTGGCCATGCGCACCATTCCTAGCTACTTGAGTGGATTTCGCTCCTAATCAACAAGAGAAACGACAAAACCCAGAGTATGAGATTGATCCATCTTCCACAACAAATTAATAATCAAGGACATCCAATGATTAATCGTCAAGCTTTTCCAAAAAAATAATAATGTTGTTTCACATTTTTCAAATAGTCTATACCATAAATTCTTAGATCGAGGCCAAGCCTCAAGACGCTTTTCTCACATGACCTCGACTCTAAAACATCTTAAACACCCCTATAATCATTGGTAGCAAAGGCCTTGACCGCTTTCGTCCACTTAATAACTCTATACCAAATGGCTGAAGCAACCCCACACAATACAAAGAGATGATCAACCGACTTCACTTGCCTCATGCACATAATACACCTCGCAAGTCAGACACACTTTGGCATCTCAAAAGATTTTGCATAGTCAGCAATCTATTCGGATCAATTAGCAAGAGAAAGAATCCACTTTCACAAGCATCCAGCTCTTCCAAACCCTAGTAAACTCCCGCAAGACCCTATTAGACCTACCTTCCCTGACCCCGAGCCAAATCTGAAAGGTTAACATAAGTTGAACTAGCTGAAAAGCCCTTGGTCGAATCTAAATTCCACACCTAATAACACCCGAGATAAGATCGAGCAAAGCCTAAAAAATCTCCTCTTCCTAGATAAGAAAAGTCTATCTCCACCTAAAACTCCAAATTGAGAAACCCCTTACCCAAGAACCCAAAAAACCCGACACTTGATTTTTTTTGCTTCAAGATGAGAAATAACCTCTCGAAATATACACACAAAGAAGTAGTCCCCACCCAGACATCATGCCAAAACCTGGTCTTCTGATTATCCCCGACCAACTTAACACAAGAAGAGGTAAACCAATCAAACTTCTAATCTAGAGAAGATCCAATGAGAGAAACACTACTCCACCAATGAGACACCCTCATAAGGCCTTCAAATCTAATCATAAAGAGGAGTTAAAACCCTAGGATCCATACCTAGCCTTGGTAATATAAACTCAAAGCAACGAGAAATCTAAAAGAATCATCCACCTCCATTTACTTAACAAGGTAACAAGTCTAAGATCTTTCACCCATTAACTACCTTCCCTTTTAACCTTACACACATCCTCCCACTTAACCTATGTGACCTTTGCTTCTCATTTTGAGCCCCCTAGAGAAAAAACTTTTGCAAACCAACTAACTTCTTTCAAATTGAGACCGCCATCTTCATGAAATACAAAAAGAATATCGGGATAAAGTTCAACACTTAATTTAGTAGGACAACCCTATCACCTAGGCTCACATATATATTTATCCAAAAGGTTAATCTCTTAGAAACAAGCTTGACAAGAGGATCACAAGTCCCTTCCTTCTTCTGGTTCTCACTCACTAGAAGCCCAAAATACTTGAAAGGAAAAGAATACACATTATAGTGAAGAAAGTCTTCTTCCAGCTCCAAGAAAGGCCCATTCACATTAAAATCAAACAAACTACTTTTGAAAACCGCCTTGATAGTCAAAAGGTTTTCAATTTACGGGAGCCTAACCAGTATAATGTCATCCACATACTAAAGATTAGACACCTTAAACATGTCTGAATACACCTTCAAACCTTCAAACACACCAGCTATGACCCCCTTTTTTAAGTAAGCGCTAAGATTTATCCTCTTCTAAAACTCCACTAAAGATAGAGTTATAGAAAGGGGAAATAAATATCTTCTAGAGATGGTTGGAACCATGATCAACGAGAAAAATGTTGCCAAACACTTATAGGATTAAGTTGTAAACACAACATGTTAAATTCAAGATATGATCTATATTAGAACTATATTGAATAATACTCCTTATGAATTGTTGAAAGATAGAAAGCCTAACACTTTATAATTTCATCAATTTGGTTGTAGTGGATTGGTGTTAAACAACAAAGAACATCTTAACATGTTAGATTCAAAAGCACAAAAGTGTATCTCATTAGTAAACTCTCAATGATCTAGAGGTTAGACGATGTATAATAAAGAAAACATTGGTCGTTGAAAAATCAATGCATGTAAGTTTTAATGATAAAGATCTTGACTATGATACATCAAAGTTAGTTGCAAAAATAACAGATATTCAGATAGTGGAAAATATATAATCAAAACCCTCAAGAGAAATTGCAATTGGCAACAATTCCTCTTGTGATGCAGAAGACTCTTCTTCATCTGTTGAACTAGACAATGTTAGTGGCTCTAGTCTTAGTCATCAATGGAAGTACAAGTCTTCACATCTAAAATATCTTATCTTGGGAATCAAGAAAGATCTTGTGAGAACCAAATCTTCAATCAAATAACATGTTGACTTGATGTTAATGCACTCTATTATCATGTTTTGTTATAAATAAATTTTGCTATTTGGAAGAAAAAGGTTATGTAATTCAAAGAATAAATTAGTCAATCATATCTGATTAATTAACTTTGTTGACATCCTATGCAAGAAATAAGTTAGAAAATTCGCTTTCCCTGTATGAAGGGTACTAATAACTTATCTCTTAAATCATAAACCACAACCAGACGGAGATGAACAAGTGTCAAGAATTTCCTTCCTTCACTTCACTACCAACACGAGTTACAATAATATTATTGGTCATTAATTTATAAGAATTAAGTGTTGAATATTGTTAGTACTCTCTTCGTCCCATAATGAATGATTCAGTTGAACATTTCACGCATATTAAGAAAAGTGTATAATAGTAAGAAAGAGAATAATGTTTTTACTATAGTACCCCTTATCATATATTGGAAATGATGAAATTTTTATTAATTAAAGGATAGAATTGGAAAAAGTATATTGAAAATTGAAAGAATCATTCATTTTGGGATATTATTTTATTCAAAATGGATCATTTAGTGTGGGAAAGAGGGATTACATTTTTATTGTCTTCTTTCAATGTCATGATTTCATCCATTTATTGCTTGTATTATTTCCATACTTTGAAATTCGTTTTAAAATCACTACATCCACTAACATTCACTACCTCACTAAACATTCCCTCACATTAAGGAAATTTCTCTTCTCATCCTTGTTATGTTGGACGCACCTCTGAAAATCCAAAAATTCCTTTAAGTGACTTCGGAGATGCATCTCCGAATGCACCAAATACCATTTTTTTAAATATAGATTGGAGATGCATATCTAAACTAACCTTAAAGGTAAATTCGGATTTGCAACTCTGAAGTCCCCTTTCAACCTTAGAAAATCAAACAGCCCTTATTTCTCAACAAAATTGGTTCGGAGATGCATATGCGAACCATGTGTGGACATAATTCAGAGATGCATCTCCGAATTGTTGCCTGGGTGATTTTTAACAGAATTTGTTTTCTAAGTTTGTGGTGTTTTCAATCGAAACTCATTTCTATTCGATTAAATTTATTGTTATTTGTTTCAACGAATAATAAAAATGAATATTATATAACCATGTAGAGCTTTAATAAAACCGAATATCATAGAAACTGAATATAAAATTATAACAATTGTTCACAAAGTCGATTAAAATTAAACAAAATACAATCAAATGCATACTCTACTATGTATGCCTAATCCTAACACCCTGGCTCATCCTCTGGCTATGGTAACCTAAGGCATTCAGTGCCTCATAAAAAAGTCACGTGATAGATGTATCGCTTCCTCACCATCTCTCTCGAACAGTCTGGAATCGATGCCCTCGTTTGTAATCTTCATGATGGTCTAACAAATTGGCAAGGCGTCAACAACATGATCATCACGTGTCAGCTCATTCTCCA